GAGGGAAAGTGCACAATTAAAGGCCTGGAAAGTCTGAAAACGTCCACCTGCCTCGGTACTTTCCGGGAGGAAGGGTTCTGGTCTGCAGGGAAGAACGCGGGGCTGCCGGTGGTGGGAGGCAGCCTGGCCTCCGCCGTGCGGGCCCCGGTCACCGACCCGCGGGTGGGCGACAGCCCGGGGAGCGGCCAGTGCAGGCCGCCCGCCGCTGAAAGACGGAGAGAGACGCTCCCGGACGCCCGGCGGGGCTGCGACGGCGGGAGGCGCGCATGCGCGGCCGCGCGCGCCGCCCCGGCCCGCCCTGCTGGGCCCCAAACTACAACGAGGGGCCGCGGCGGGGACGTCCCCTCGCGCGGGTCCTGAGCCCAGGCTCGCGGACGGCGGCAGGCGTCGTGAGCGCTTCCCGGAGCATCGCCTTCTCCCCAGGTTTAGGGCAGTTGCTTTGTGCTTGTGGGACGACTGGACCTTTCTCCACAGGTTTAAATCCATGGTCCTGATAACACGGCGACTTTGATGAATCCACATGAATTCGACCACACAACCCAGTTTATAAAGTAAAATAGTCTTACTGAACCGTGAGATGGTGACCAGGGCCAAAGTCAGATGCTCAACTGACTGAGCTACCCAGGTCCCCCTAAAGTGTAAATCTTTTTAAAATAAACGCTTAAGTATAACAGGATACAAAAAGACAAAATTTATCAGGTTTTCACATGTTTTTGTGTTAGTTGACGAGTTAACCCTAAAATATCATGTGCCATAATAGGGTCCCACTACACGTGACTAGTGAAGGAAACCAAAACATGTCAGTGAAAATGTGCCACTTTTATATAAAAATTACTCTGAACAGAAGGCAGTTAAGAAGCAGACCACACAAGAAAATCTCTCTCTACCTTCTCCCCTTTCTGCCTAAAGTCAGGATCTAAAGTCTCTGTTTACAGGAGACTGAACTCGATAGCCACCAGACGAATCTGCAAACAGACCTTCCTCCGTTAGTTTCCTCCATGAATTTCCCTTCCAGCTCTGCCGCCCTTACAGCCTGAAAGTGCCTTCCTCGGCCCTGTCGTTTCCTGAACATTCCCTGCTCTTTGTAGAAGATGCTGAGAAGTTCCAAGCTGCTGCTTTCAGTTACTGTTCGTTTAGGCCAATCCCACAGGACATGCCCTGCAGGTGTTAATAAACTCTGTTCTTCTCTTGTTAATCTGCCCTCCGGTCAGAGCCCCAGCTGAGAACCTCGGATGGATGGAGGGAAAGTTTTGCCCCTCCCCCCTCCGTGCTGGTCTGCCGCCTTCTCCTCGCTCTATTCGCTGAGCAGGTGGATAGCCCCTGTGAGACCCACATACTGTTAAGTGAGCCAGGTCCTCCGGGCATTCACTGGGGGTCAAAGCCACCAAAAGATTCTGTAACATTTTTAAGTCCTTATTTCCATGTCTACACTCATTTCATGGAGAACCAGTAGCAAATAACGGAAGTCAGCAGAGACGGCAGTTTTCTGAACTTCTTGGATTATGAGACAGTGTAGCTCAGTGGTCGACTGCATTCCTGCCCGGCCCCTTCTGTCTCTCAAACTGCACTTGAACAAGCTTTTCTCCCTTTCCTCTCACTGCACTGATTTACTCACTTTGTCCTGTTCATATCAAAGTTAGAGTCATACCCTCCGAGGGTTGCATTGGCTCCTCTCCCATTTCAGCGCCATGGGCCTCATCATTACTCATGATGTCTGTCTTCCCAGGGGACATTTGATTGAACGAAACAAAAAAGAAAGATCTGGCGCGTGCAGGGTCTCCTGAACCAGAGAGGACAGACACGGCAGATTTACTTCAAACACAAGGCCTCGGTTCTGTTGGTCAGATCACAGAGGTGCGTGGGAGAGGAAGTACAGGAAGGGAAAGAACAAGTAAGAGATGAGATTCTCAGTCAATTATGTCTTAAAGGGCATTATTTTTTCAACTGTACCTGGGTCAATGCAGTAGCTGCAGGCCAAGGAGAACCTTCCCCGCCCTCCCTTCACCTTCTGCCTCCAGCTGGAAATTTCCTGTACAGTCACCAGAAGGGGTGAGCAACGGATCGTGACTCTTTCTAAGCAAGTAAATTGGGGTCCTTCACGAAGAAAACGAATCACTCAGTGCTTGCAAAGTTGAGAAAAGTGGGGGTGGGAGTTGGGGGGTTGGTGAACCCACAGTGGTCTGGTGTAACCAAAATAGGTCTCCCCTCCTTACCGGTTGTAGGAAAGGTACTGTCTTTGTCAGAAAGAATTCTCATCCCTCCACTTATGTTCACAACCTAACACACCACGTCCTCCTCCACCCGGCTCCTGACATGAATTCTTCGGAGCCCGCGTACGGAACTTGGGGGGTTCATGCCGTCAAGTTCTCCTTTGCATCCCTCACTAACCACTCTCCCGGTTGTTTTTAACTCTCTAAATAACATCGTGTTATTTATATAGAATAAACAGACATTCCGATCACAGAGGGAGCACTGGAAAAAAAACATTTAAAGGCTTTGGAGTCAGAATGAAGGTCGTCAATGCATAGACAAGAAGCAAAATGGTCCCTTGGCCATTAGCCATAAGAACAAAAGGACTCAGTCCCATCTCCTCTCTCTGATTGCTGCGACCACGAATCCCAACGAGACTGACTCAGTGCTATGTACTGGCCCAGAGCGTCCTCCATGTCCTGGCTGTCACCCTCAGCTCCCAGAAAATGTTCTCTTAGCCCGTACTGTAGCCAAGCACCTGGGAGGGCAGCCCGTCATCCTACCCGCAGGCTGCTTCCGAGTGACGGCAGACTCCAGACATCAGCCCACTGCCGTACTTCATTTGCTCTAAAATGGTTGCTTATCTCAGAAACAACAGGGGATTCAGTAAATTCGTGGATGGTGGTTTGGCCAGAGCATTGTGAGGGGTAAAGGCACATCTGTGCCACGTTAAGTTTCTATTCCAGTGACAACGTACACTGACCCTCTAATGCAAACTTGTAATGAACCTGACACCAGGTGAGGACTGGTGCGTCCGTGGAATGATAATGTGTGAAGGCTCAGGGTTCGTTTGTGATGCTGGGAGATTAGTCACGCAGAAGAGGCTTGAACCGGATCTGTTTTGCTGTATGAAACCCCGCATTGCTGAGCCCATAGTGACCCCCCAGCCCCTTGGACAAGGACAGTGGTGACCAGAATAGGAGAAGCTTACAGACCTCAGCAGAACAGGCCATCTTGTGCAGCTGCCCATTCAGGTCCCCCTGACGATGGTGCTCTTTGGAGAGATTCACCTGGGGAAACAAATACCCTTGGACTCTGCCCTTCTGGAGAAATCTGTCCATCTACGTCCTTCCCAGGCCTCTTTGCCACCACTTCCCCAATGATTTCCCTCCCAAGCCTCTCTGTAATCACCCAGCCAAACTGTGAGCTGCTCTCATTAATTAGTGCAGACTCTGCCTCACATCTGTCCTTGCAGAAAGAGCCAGCAGGTGCCCGGGGGAAGCAGTGCCCCCGGGGAAGATCTGCCGTCCCCACCAGCCCTCAGGCTCCCAGGAGCCTGCGGACCTTTGTGCAGTGAGAGAAACACCTGGAAGGCAGGCCCGGCTGTGGGGAGCGCCCCACGGGGCTGGGGGTGTGTGCTCAAAACATAGAGGAAATGTCCCCAGTGTAAGAGCCAAGGGAACATAAGCTGTTTTCTCACGCCGGTTGTCCACGGGTGTCGACCCTGCTCAGATGCTCTATTTCTTGTGAGGGACTGACTCTGTCCATGCCCAGTGCCAGGCTGCATGGACTAAAGACCTCCACTATGACTGGAAGCCCTGGTCCCCTGTAACTTGGTGACTTGTGCTCAAGAGCCCAAGGTCCCCTGGACTCAGTAGCGAGCTACAAACTATTTTATTAAAGAGGCAGGAGTTGCAGAGGATGCCACAGTTTTGCCCCCGAATCCCAAAGGTGTGTCCTGTGACTCACTTACAGAAGAGCATAGACTCCAAAGGCCATCTGCGTCTTCCACTGAGTGCTTAGAGGCCAGCAGTCACTGTGGCCTCCATACAGCAGGGACCTGCTGCAGACTTCCTTTGTTCTCGCTTCACACAAAATAGGTAGCTTTCCTAGACGCACAGAGGGGGCTGGTGGTTGCCGGAGGCGGGGTGGGGAGTGGGGGATGGGTGAAAGGAGCGATTCCCATGCACAGAACAAATAGTTCCTAGGGGTGTAAGGCGCAGGGACTGCGGTTGATAATACTTTACTGCATATTTGAAAGTTGCTAAGAAGTTACGTCTTCTCATCACAAGAAAAAAATGTGGTGACCGTGTACAACAGGAGACACCGTGCCGATCGTTTTGCAATGCGTGCAGATGCCCACCCATCATGTTGTCCCTCTGAAACTGATCGAATGTAATATGTCAATTGTACCTCAATTTTTTTTAAAGCTGTTTTTTTTTAAACATTTTTATTTATTTCTAGGAGAGAGAGAGAGAGAGACAGCGTGAGCAGGGGAGGGTCAGAGAGAGAGGGAGTCACAGACTGAAACAGGCTCCAGGCTCCGAGCTGGCAGTCAGCACAGAGCCTGACGCGGGGCTGGAACCCACGAACCGCGAGATCATGACCTAAGCGAAAGTCGGACGCTTAACCGACTAAGCCACCCAGGCGCCCCGTTTTAAAGCTAGTTTTAAAAACCCCAAATCTGGTAGTGTTTCAGGCTATGTGGTGAGTCAGAGTATGAGATACAAATGGCTCTGTATTGTCTCCAAAACGTAAAGAGGAGCACTGCACATTTTACCTCTTTTCTAGTTGGATGAGCCAGAAGCAGCAGCTTGTTGTCACCCCTGAAGGGCTATGAAGACATGCTCCATAGACAGCTTTGGAGGTGACAGGCTCCTGAGGTCTGTGGGCCGGGCTTCTCCCTGCGGCTTGCACGCCATTACCAGGGAGTCTAAACCCCTGCTACTTGTAGATCAAGGACTCAAAACCAGGTCCAAGTAGTGTGTTATTATCAATATAACGGACCGGCGTGATTGATATCCTGCACAATGGAGAAGCGATCGGTGGCCCACGACTCTAGTATCGAAGGCTGGGAACGCTCTGCGCTCCTAGGCAAGAGTGGAAATCTTTCGCTGGCCCCGCCACGCGGAGGCAAACTGGGCCTGACGGCGGTATTACGTTGCTAGGGCTGCTGGAGCAAAGGCCATGGATTCAGCGGCTTCAACAACTGAAACGTATTTCCTCTCATTCTGGAGGTGACACGTCCCACATCAGCATGTCAGCAGGTTGGGTTTCTCCCGACGCCTCTATCCTTGAAGCAGCCTTCTCGCCGCGTCCTCGCCTTCCTCCTCGGTGTGCACGGTGTCTGCGTCTTCATCTCTTCTTGTAAGGACAGGGTCCTTACCTACGTCGTTCTGGATTAGCGCCCACCCTTATGACCTATCTTTCCTTAATTATCTCTAAATACAGTCACAGTCTGAGGTTGGGACTCAGAGGGTTGGGGCTTCCACATAGAATTTTGGAGAGACAGAATTCGGCCCAGAACAGTGGTTAGTTTCCAACGACGCAAAGAATGAAATATTTTCTACAGCAGTAGCTGCAGATCAGGTACGAGTGGCTGGGATATTTGCTCCAGGAAGGAAATCCTAGCTGGATGGAAGCCACTACTTCATTAAACTCATATGTATGCTGCCATTTCTCACAATGATTCTGTTTTCTGCACGGACCGAATAGGCGAGCTGAATGCAGATGTGCTACAAATCACCGCTCTCTACGACTTTCAAATCCTTGCTGGTGGTTTTTCTGTTTAGAATTCTCTCAGGACTGCAATATCCCTTGCTATTATTTCAGCAGGTGGAGAGAACTCTGATGGTTCCCAACTGTCCTTTCCCAACTTAATATCTCACATGTCAGGAATCCAATCCAGATCTCCTGGAGCCAAGAGGAGACTGGCCCCACTTGAACAGGAAACTGGGAACACAGCTAAAAATATATATGGAGGGGCGCCTGGCTGGCTTAGCCGGTTAAGCCTCTGACTTTCGCTCAGGTCATGATCCCGCGGTTCGTGGGTTCGAGCCCCGCGTCGCGCTCTGTGCTGACTGCCAGCTCAGAGCCTGGAGCCTGTTTCAGTCTGTGACTCCCTCTCTCTCTGATCCTCCCCTGCTCACATTGCCCCCCCCCTCTCTCTCCTAGAAATAAATTTTAAAAAAATGTATACGGTAAGCATTTCTTTTCTAGTCTTCCCCCGAAGAAAGTCTGAACAGACTCTGAATTGACATTAAGTACTGCAGCGCAAAATGTCACTGCGGTCTATGGCCAGAGGGGGCGGGGCTTATAGACGTCATGTGATCAGTAGACTCGGGTCTATTTTCCTGCAGGCCTATTTGGATCCCTGAATCCGCGCATAGTGTTTCCAGACGCAGCAGGCCTAGCGGGAGACGACAGTCACAGCCCCTCCTGTATGCCATCAACACACCCGAGTCCAGAAGTCATTTTAACTGTAGTATCTATCGCTGTCCTTCCTGGTCTTCGGGGAGTAGCCACTCCACAGATTTTTAGGAAGGATGCTGTTTTCTCCTCACCAGCACATTCCTCAAGGACTAGGTGAACACAGTCCTCTAGACCAGAAGTCGGCAAACTTTTTGTGTAAATGCCCAAAAAGTAGATATTTTAGAATTTGCAGGTCACGTGGCAAAATCAAGGCTATAGATACTTATATAACGTAGAGAAAAAATTTCCACTTTAAAAAATGACATTAAAGTATTGTAACATTTGAGTACCATTATTATTACTACTAACAAAGAATGGAATTTTATCTTGAGGAAAACATTTTACTTAATTGGAGTTCAAAGTTAGTGCTCCTGATCATAGAAAATTCTCAGCCTTCTTGGAGATCATGAAAGAACGAAAAGAAGAGAAAAATGAGAGGCCTCAGAAGCTGAGGGGGGCGGAGGGAGGGGAGGGGAGGGGAGGGGCGCGGAGGCGAGGCGAGGGGAGGGGAGCAGAGGCGAGCGGAGGGGAGCAGAGAAAAAGGGAGCGGAGGGGAGGGGAGGGAAGGCGAGAGGTGCGAAGGGGAGCCGAGGGGAGCGGAGGGGAGAGGAGGGGAG